TGGGGAGCTGGGGAGCACGGGCAGCCAAGGGTGGGGACCGGGAGCTGGAGAGCCAGCAGGGGAGTCTTGCTGCAGCAAAGCCTCCTCAGAGAAGGCGGGAGCTGTCTGACTTCAGAAAGCCACAGAGTGCTTGGCCCCAGGGAAGGGATGCAGCTGGTGGGGTCCTGCTCTTGGGCTTCGTGAGCAGGACCTTCTGTGCAGGAGTTCCACCACCCCGTGGAGAGCCTGGCCCTGACTGTGGAGGAGGTGGTGGGTGTGCGTCGAGTGCTGGTGAAGGCCAAGATGGAGAAGTTCACCCAGGACCAGGAGCTCTTCAGCAGCCTGAAGAGGGGGAAGGTAGGGCCTGGGGACAGCTAAAGGCGGATCTCTCCTGATAGGAGGTCAGGGGCAGGCCAGTGTGGGCAGGACCTTGGTGGGCCATGAACACAGCTGAGCCCCAGCGTGCCTTCCCTCACAGATCTGCTGCTACTGCCGAGCCAAGTTCCCACTCTTCTCCTGGCCACCCACCTGTCTCTTCTGCAAGAGGTGAGCCTTCAGTGCACCTGGCTACCAATTAACAAGGAGGAAGAGGAGTGGGCCTGATGGTGGGATGTTCTGTCACCTGCCGTGGCTGTTGAGTCCTTGGGATTGGTCAGTGCCACTGAGGAGGTATTTTTTCTTTGCATCTATTAGGGGTGGATTTGTGGAACTCAGCCTCCCCCCATGGATTCCCACAGTGGGCTTCCTGGGCAGAGCAGGCAGGGGCTTCAGTAGAAATAGGGACTTGTCTCTTGGGCATCGATTTCCTTCATGGGTTGTGGGAAGCTGCCTGGGCTCTTAGCCAGACACACAGGGGCCCTCTGGGCAGGAGTCTGCCCTTGACTTGCTTGTTCGTGGTGGCTCTGTGGACAGGTGGGTTAACCCTGGACCCTCCTGGTGGCCTAGAAACTCTGTGGGCCTTTCTTCTCAGTAGCAGCGCCAGCCTTCCTGTAGATCTGCACGTATGTGCTGAAGCAGCATCTCCTTGGCTTCTCGAGGCCCGGAGGACACATGTGAGGGTCTCTCTCCTCCCTCTGTGCTCCTCCCTGTGACTAAAGACCAGAAAATGGTAGTCTTGGGGAAAAGTAGGCTGAGGAATGGAATTTTGAGTTCTATTTAAATTAAACATAAATAGCCAATAGGCTCTGACCTTCAACCCAGATGGGGTCACAGGCACCTTCCAGCTGGAACAAGATGGCGGAATGGGAAATGGTGGTTTCCAGGGTACTGGCAACACACAGGAAGCATCTAGGTCTGGGGTCTGAGCCAGGATCTCCTCAGGCAGGAGGCAAGGCTGAGCATGGAGGGAGGACTGGCAGCGGAGTTCTCAGGGCACAGCCGCATAGAAAGCCCCCAGAGAGGTCTCCTTGAGCCGCTGGAGGAGAGGTGCGAGGAGATGGCTGAAGCTAGGGACAAATCCATCCTAAGGCAGGCCCTGGCAGGCAGCCCCTGGGCCCATCTGCTCACCACTGGCTCTGTAAATAAAGCTAGTCGGAGCACACCCACAGCCACGCACTTAAGCATTTCTCATTTAGCCACATCTGAGATGTTCACTGTCCTGCCCTTTACAGAAGTGTTCGCTTACCTGTGTCCTAAACATTCAGTGGAACAACCAGGCAGGGTGGCACATACTGTGATCCTAGTGAATGAAAAGGGCTGGAGATGTCTCTCCATGGTAGAGCCCTGCTAGGCTCAATTCCCAGTACCACGTGGCAGGGGCACATGCAGACTTAAAGGAAAGTGATAGGTACTCAGGGCCAAGTGTCATGTCGGTGTCCACTAGCTACCGCTGGAGTGCCATGATTTTGGAGCATGGGGCGGAAAGGCAGGCGGGTCTTGCCACACAGGTGTAGAGTAAGTCA